GATCTCCCAAGGGGAAGCCACGGCATCCAGGAAACAGGAGGTTCAAACAGAAGAGCAGTAAGGGGCAGTCCCAGGATGACCTCTGTGCGACAGAGCGCAGGCAGTTAAGATTGGCACAAAGTGAGAATATGTACCCTGTAGTGCAGACCTTGAGGACAGACTGCCTGAGTGAGCCTGGGACAGGTACTTATTTGTCTTTTGACGACCATGAGCTGAGGAGGTTTCTGCTCACACAGCCCCGCACACATTGCCTGGATCAGCTGGACATACTCGTTTCTCCCTGAGAAGTGTGCCATGCTAACCTTCTTCTAAGAACTTGAGAGACGTCCTAATGAACAAAAAAGGGAAAATAGAAAGCAGCCCTACCCCCCACCATATTTTTGCCAGATATTTTTAACTTGGATGACCAAGTTAAAACAGCCCTGCCCAGTTATCCCCACTGTGTTGGGTAATCTTCCCAGGACTGTACCCACTGATTCTCCCAGGTGGGATCTTTTCAGGGAAACTGGATCCAGACTCAGTTTATCTCCTCTGGGGAGCCTTCATGTATTAGTTGATGCACTGCTGTTTCCGGACAGGGGCAGGTTCGGGCTTGTTTTTCAAAACCAAACTATATTGTTTAGTGATACTTTCAGGAATGGAAAAACTATAAAGAAAATCAAGGGAATGAACACAAAAATTAGGCTAGTGGTTTCCTGATGCAGAAGGAGTGTTATCAATCAGCGGGCACAGGAGAGGCTTCTAATGTTCAGGATATTAACCTGCACGGTGGGTACACAGGTATCTATTTTATTATTGCTTTTAATATGCATATATGTTTCACAAAATGTTTTATGTGTATGATACATTTCACAATTTAAACCAAAAAAAATGATTTGAACAAATAAATTAAATAATTGTCTGGAGAACTTGTGGAGGCAGAATCCTAGCTCCACTACAGTTCTGATGTGGGAGACCTGTCAAGACCTGGGATCCACATTTTTAGATGGTGCTGACACAGGTGGTCAAAAACCACATCTTGAGATGCTCACATGGCTTAAGAGTATCCCAGGCTTTGGCTTCAGACTAACTGGGTTCAAAGCCCCAACTCAGTTGACCACTGGCTATATGATACCAAGCACGTTTTCTTCATCTGTAAAATGAGGATGATAAACATAGCATAGCGCCTAGGATCTATTAATCAGGCAACACGGTCACACTTTAATAATACTTATTATTATTGTCATCACTGATATAAGAATGTTTTCCTCAGACATGGTAATTTCTATTAATGGGTCCCTATGCAGATAAATTTTCCAGATGATTTTCACTTCAGAAAGAGATACTATTATTGTTAAAAAAACTTTCCATAAGCCTTAGCTAAATGCAAGAGCCTAAGGAAATGAACCTAAACAGAAGGGTTTATATTAGAATATTAGAAACAATTTAAATAGCCAATAACAGAGGTAACTTATATGAACTATGAACTATATTCATAAAATGGACTATTAGGCAATCATTAAATACAAATTTATAAAAACATGTGAAGGTTATATTGTAATGCTAAATGAAAAAAATAGCCAGATAGAGATAGATCTACCATACAAAAAGTAAACCATTGTCCATAGAAAATAATGGGAGAAAATAGGCCAAAATGGTCAAACACAGGTTGTCTTTAGGGTGAAAGATGGATGATTCATTTTTCTTCCTTTTTAATTTTCTGTATTTTCCAAATATTCTAAAATGGTAATTTTTTAAACTCATTTTTTTAAAGTATATTCTTTTGTTATCTTTCAAATCTGAGCTAAATTAAGGGCTCTGCCTCAACTAGGATGCATAAATGTGTATGGCCAGGATCTGATCCCAGGTCTCACAATGTCATGTCTCTCTCTTCCTGTTTCACCACACTCCCTGCCCCTACTCCTCCAACTCCACAATCCAGATTGTTAAAATACTCTAGCATCGCTACTCAGAATGCATCCTGGGAACCATCAACATCAGCAACACCTGACCCCTTGGTAGAAATACAGACCTCTCAGGCCACTTCCCTGAGAAAGGGAATCAGAATTTGCATTTTAACAAGATCCCCAGGACAAGGTTCTTAAACAAGTAACACACTAAAAGGAACTCTCTCTTTGATGCTTTAATTTCCACTGAAGCTAACTTCAGTTGAAGCTAACTTGGATGACCAAGTTAAAAACAAGTCATCTCAGTCCCAACACCGGCATTGTGACATCAAGCATTTTTCTCAATCAGTCTGCGCCTTAGTTTTCATCATATGTAAAATGCAGATGGAAAATTCAGGATTGAGTCTAGCAAGTGCAGAGATGAAAACTGGTGCAAGTAAGCCTTTGTAAACAGGGCTAATAAACGCTTCCTCAGGTATGTTTCAACGGACTGGTACTCTGTCACAGCCAGGGCTCCTTGCCCGTGCTTGGCACACAGTAAGCCCTCAACCAGTGTGTATTTAGTAAACAACTAGCAAGAGCGCAGGTGACGTCTACCAACGTTTGACTTGCGGTGTTCCCTTCTCTTAGTATATGACACTCTCAAAACTGCAGGTGTTCTCCCTTCCAACATTCAAAACTGTGCCAGTTCCCCTCTCCACCAGACAGCGAGGAGGTGAGGGGAGTTGAAGGTCATAAGCAAGCTTAACTGATGCTGCAAATCATTCTACCAGACTCCTGAGGTTTCAGACTTACAAAGTTAACCAACATCCTCTCTTCACTCAGTGCTCCGCTCGGTTCTAAGCCTCGCCCACGGCGCCCCCCGCTTCCGCCCAGCTCCGCCCCCTTCCCGAGGCCCCGCCCCCTCGGGCCTGCAGCCGGGCTTCGCGTCACGCACCTCCGCCCCTCCCGCAGCCTGGGCCCCGCGGGGCTCGGCTAGCGTGCGGGCTCGCTCGGCTTCTCCATCGGCGTCTGCGTACCCCACAGTCCGGGGTCGGCTCCTGCCCGCGGCGGCGGATGGCGGCCTGAGGCCTTGCCCCGGGAGCCGCGCCTGCGCCCCACGCGAGGTAAGGCCCGAGGGACGGGCCGGTCGGAGACGCAGGTCGCCCAGGCCTCGCGAAAGGGGCGGCCGGGGCGCCTGCGGAGACGCCGGGCCCGGGGCGGCTGGACGCGTCCGTGTGCGTCGGGCCCGGAGGGGCGTGCGGGCCCAGGGCTAGCGGTCACGACGTCGGCCGGCGCGCGCGGCCCACGTGCGCCATCGCGCCCAAAGCCCGGGGCGCAGAGGCCCGCCCGCCTTTCTGCCGAGAGCAGGTTGTAAACGTTTACTGCGCTCGGCGCTGTGCGGGAGAGGTAAGGAGAGTGCGGAGACGGAGTCTGACAGCGCTGGGCGCCGCCCGGCCCCCGGGAGCAGGGGCGCGAGGCCGCGGGAAGGACGCCGCGCGTACTTCTCCTTCAGGAGCGCAGAGTCACCTGGCCGGACGGCGCCCACGATCCCCCTTGAGGGAAGGAGGGCGGGGCGGGACCACCAGCCGAGGGGACCCCGCCTGTTTCCCTCCCCGTTAGAAATCGTCCTTGGAGAAGATGGAAGGGGAGAGGCGGCCGGCACCCTACCAGGGCCTGTTTGCGAACGGGCACCTGGTCCTGTGGACGCTGTGCTCCGTGCTGCTGCCCGTGTTCATCACCTTCTGGTGCAGCCTCCAGCGTTCGCGCCGACAGCTGCTCCGCAGGGACATCTTCCGCAAGAGCAAGCACGGGTGGCGCGACACGGACCTCTTCAGCCAGCCCACCTACTGCTGCGTGTGCGCGCAGCACATTCTGCAGGGCGCTTTCTGCGACTGCTGCGGGCTGCGCGTGGACGAGGGCTGCCTCAAGAAAGCCGACAAGCGCTTCCAGTGCAAGGATGTCATGCTCAAGAACGACGGCAGGGCCCCGGACGCCATGCCCCATCACTGGATCCGGGGCAATGTCCCCCTGTGCAGCTACTGTATAGTTTGCAAGCAGCAGTGCGGCAGTCAACCCAAGCTCTGCGATTACAGGTATGGCCTTTGTGGTTACTGCTTGTCCCAGAATGCGTGGTCGAAGTCAGGATTTCATGGTGTTGGGACCGCTTTGATCGCTGCAATTGGCCTAAACTGCCCACTTCAAGAAACAAGCTAATAAGCACCCCTGGTATTGTACAAGAAGGGCAGCTTAGCAATAGCCATTTGCCGAGATGAGGCATCGAGCCTCCGCTGCTCAACCAGCCTGCCCTTTCGGGTAATAAAACTTAGCTTTTAACTTTCATCCAGAGGTCTCTTAAGTGCTGCACACTTTATGGCCTCTGTATATTTTACCTTTTGTTACTATTGATTATCTCCATTTTATGTAAGGAAAAATCAAGTATGGACAACTTAACTTTTCCCTAGAGTCGCAAAAATGATTTAATCCTTGGTGTATTATGAATGTACTACGAAAACAAGTGTCATTCCAAGACTCACTTCCAAAGACAGTATCTTGTTTGCATGTAGATATTGGCGCTGGAGTGAAATAGAAAAAAGGATACTCCTTTTCCCAGATGGTCTTTCAGGACGTGTAGCCTCTTAGATAAGTGACTCTGAGTAAGCAAGGAATATTTTAATGGCTTTTAAATACACAGTACATTTGTCCTTTAGTGTGGTCTGAAAATAGGTGAAAATGTCAGTTGCTCATTGTAGGGATTGGAATAAAAGGTAATGCTACTTTGCAAATCATCTATTCTAACTCATTGTACGGTTGAGAGAATTTTACTCAGTTGTAAAATAGAACTGGTGTCCAGGATTTCTAACCCCCAGGGCAGGGTTAGGAATACTAACCCCTAGCCTCGTCTCAGCCTTAAGTCTAGACATCTTCACTGTGATGAGTTTTATTTCTGACAAGTAGAAAGGCTCATAACTATGTTTAAGAACTGAAATGGAAAGCTGACACTAGATAGCAAGTTACCTTTTAATTTTCTTATTTATTTTTTATTTGAAATTTCTTCTAAAAAATTAGTGTGAGCAGTTATGTCAGCACCTATTTTTAAGTCTTATTTTAAATAATTTTATACATCACTTGTAGACTTAAAATTTTGTGACCATTTATTTTTTATCTGGTGTCTTTCAAATTTACATGTCCTTTTGGCATCTGTGAGAGCTAGGTTACCAGTGTCTTTAAATAAATGTAATAATTCTGTCTATAGGTAAGCTTTAGCTTTCAGTAGTTGGGATTAGATGAAAACATGAGTTGAGTATTGTTTTATTTCTTCCTTTTTTTGTGTCTATGCAGAATTAGATAAAAATGGCTTCCATAAATATTGTATAATTATGTTTCAAATACTCCTTAACAAATAATCATAGTGCTCTGATCCTCCATCCCTCCAAATGCTCTTTCTAGAAAAATGTATCTGATGGAGTCCTTGCTCACTGAAAACCCTTCAGTTGTTCCCATTGCTTACAATGCTGGTCTTCCAGTATACACTCCGTAGAGCTTAACGCCGAACACGAGGCCTCCTGTGCACCCTGGACCCTGCCTGCCCTTCTGGTCTTACCTACCACCACCTGCATTAAACTTTATGCACCAGCAATACCTTGCAGGCTGTGGTTTCCTTAGAACACCAGGCTTTTTCTTGCTGCCCTTCTAACAGAAGCTTTCCTCTGTCTTGAGTCTCTTCCCCCTGTTCAGATTCTAGGCATCCTTAAAGACTCATCTCATGCCCTTTCCTCCAGGAACTCTTGCCTGATCTTTCTACTCACCACCATCCCCAAACTTTTCTTTCTTGATGACAATATCCTGTGTATCAATGGCTGTCAAGGTAAGGTCCTCAGATAAGCAGCATCAGAATCACTTGGGAACTTGTTAGAAATGCAAATTCCAGGGTTGCCAGATAATAGCAAACAAAATAAAAATAAAATATTTGCTATATTTGGTACATACTTATACCAAAAATTATTTCTATCTGAAATTCAAATTTAACTGAATAGTATCTTCTATTTTTCCTGACAACCCCTAGCCCTTCCCCAGACCAGCTGAATCACAAATGTACTGGGGACCAGCTATCCTTGTTTTACCAGGCTTTGCAGGTGATTCTAAAATTGGAGAACCAGCTGTACTTACCTATCTTTTAAAACATGAACCTCTGTCCTTAATTTTGTGTCCTCCCCTTTGAGCACAGTGAATGTTTGTGAAATAGATGTACTTTTCATCATTAGTTCATTCTTACCAGTGACTAAGCAGTCTGTTCTCGGCATGCTAGAACCCCTCACCTATGGTAGACACTGTCTCTGTGTAATAATGAACATTTATCTCTTCTCCCAGGAGAAGAGAACACAGTGTCCTGAAACTGTCCATATTTTGCAGTGTTCTGATTTATTTTAGCCAATGATTTGATGCAAGATTACTGTCTGCTATGGCCTTCTGTAGGAATGAGATATTTTGGAAAGAAATAAAATAAATATCTATTTAGAACTTTTGTACACAGACAAGACTGTGCCTCTGGATTTTATCCAGCCTCGGGAAGTTTTTCCACAACTGCATCACATTCTAAAGAAGCCTGAGATTTTAAGTGAACTATGAATACTGTTCAAGTTAGTATTTCAAAGTTATAATTACAGGTGATAACTGATTTCAAAGCCTCTAGCCACTAAATTGCAGAATAAGTGACAAGGGCCTGCTAAGTTATACTCATTCCATAGTTAGTTTCACTTCCTGAGCATGTATTTATGTACCAGGCTCTTTGCTAGATTCTGCTTTCCCTGTAGATTTTTTTCTTTCGTGTATGTATTTCTGCATCTACCTTTCAGCCACGTAGTATCTTGTCACTCGTCCCTATACTTTTTTTTTCCTTCTCCCCACTCTTCTGACTAAAACAGGCAATTAGGTTATATTGAAGTATTCATTACATTTATTAAATAAAACTTTGTTCCGTTTAGTGTTTTGTCTCTCACTAAGAAAACTTAAAGTACCTTTTTATATAAGGCCTTTTCTTAATTGCACCCTACCCCACTCCCATATACACACACTGAATAATAAAACAAAGCGTCTGACTCAGTTACACTGGCCACTTTAGTCTCAGCCTTGATCTTAAATTTTATGTTTTAATGTTCTGTTGGTATGTGTTTATTCATTTCAGTAATTATCCAGAGCAATGAAATATACCAAATCATCTTCTAGAATAGCACACTTTTTCTGTAAAGAGCTAGAACTAAGTATTTTAGGCTATGCAGACCATATGGTCTGTCATGATTATTTAACTACCATCCATCATAGTTACGTAAAACCAGCCATAAATGTATATAAACGAATGAGTATAGCTGTATTCCAATAACACTTTAGTCACAAAATCAGGCGGCAGATGTATTTGTAGTTTGTCTACCCTGGTTCTGCTGTGAATTTCATAAATGACCATCTCTACTTCATGTACAGTTCTGCCTCCTTCAGCCTGATAAAGAAGAGAGCTGTTGTGCACAGGTGACTTTAGAAAAAATAATAAGCAGTGTTGCCAACAGTTTTTTTCCCTTTTGTGAAACTTCTTTTTAAAAAAATAAAGCAGTCATACTCCTGCAGAAGCCTGGCACTTACGGGTAATGTCTTGATAAGGATTTTAGTGATATGTTCACTTGTCAAACTCAACAAATGTAACAGACTTGTACATTTCATTATGTAAATTTTATATTAGAAAAACCTATATTCATATAATTGTAGATTAATGATACCAAAATAAAAAAAAAAACCTATAGACAAATAATGAACCCTAGGTAATGATGTGTTTGCTTGCTGAGGTATTTAGGAAGTACTCCAATGTCTGCAATTTACTTAAAATGCACCAAAAATAGGATGGATTAATGGATGGATAGAAATGTAACAAAAGTAATTACAGTAAGACATTAATGCTGGAATGTAGGTGGTGGGTGTACCTGTGTTCATTGTAAAAAATATTACTAAACACAAAACATTTTAAAAGGTAAGGAGACTATTCTTGTTTTTTTGAAATACATGCTAAAGTCTTCAAAGGTGAAATTTCATGATGTCTGCAATATACTTTCAAATGATACAGCAGTATGTGACTTTATATGTAAAGAGAGAAGTGTGGGAGAAATATTAAGAATTAGAGTGAAGGGCTGGCTTAAGGGTATCCATTTTGCTATTCTTCTGACTTCTGTTTAAGTTTAAAATTTTTCATAAAAAATTGGGAAAATTAAGATCACAGCAATTACTCAATGACATGATTGCTAAAACTAAAATATCAAGACATTTTTAGTGAGGTCTTATTTTCCCCACAGGTTTGAAATCTAAATTGAGTTGAATACTAATTACAAAATATATAGAGATCAGGTCCCAATTTTGAATATAGTATTTGTAAGGAAAGGTATAACGTTGAATAACTAGTGAGTGTTGGCTTTACCTTTACAGAGCCAAGGCTGATTGTAGCCATCATCTTGGTTAAAATAATTTTTTCTGAAATTTTGAAGAATTGAGTAGATGATAAAAGATGTCACAATCAGTGGAAATAGGAAAGGTTTTATAAATCATACTAGGACAACTGTTCTCTAGGGTTAAATTAGATCTTCATACCACACTGTTCACCAAAGTAAACTCCAGATGGATTAAAGCAGTTCTTAGTTCTTAGACAGATAAGGCTCCAGGAAAGCCTGACACCTCTACAAGTTTCCCAATGGAATCAGTAGCCTCAGAAGGTTAAGAGGCATTGAATTAAAGACATAAATATGAAAACTGAATTATGGGGGGAAAAAATAACTATAGGTGAGTATTTAGTTTGGAAATGGTAAAGGATGTCAAAGCATACAAGCATTTAAATCACAAAAGGAAATACACATCTATCAAAAAAATAAACTTAACTTAAAATGTGTATGTAAAATAGAACTGAAACAAGTTTGCCATAAGGATGACAAGAGGTTGATATTCTACAGAAATAAAAAGCACATGCAGTTATTAAAACTTGGTGAAAGATGAATATAAGACATGAATCAATTCACCAAAAAAAGCAAGAAAATATTCAACTTCATCGAGTGATCAGAGACTC